CCCAGGGTTTCGCCTCCCAGGACATGCTCGCTAACGCCCCGATTGTCCTTTCCGTGCTCGATAGGTTCGCCGAGACGACGGCCCTCCATATCCGCCCTGGCCAGGCGGCCGTTTTTCGGCCGGAGAGAATTGATGCTTCCATTGCGCCCCCACTGTTCCCCGAGCACGGGCTCGACGCCTCGGGCTTCAGCTGGCCACTGGCGGGAGGTGCTTTGGCCTCGCGGTCGGGGGCGGGGGTGGGCCCCAGAAGTTCTTCGCGCGCAGTTTGAAGCTGTTCAGTCGCTTCGCGCCGGCCATTTGAATGCCGTCAGCCGCGAAGTGATGATGGGCGTCTCCTCTTTGTGACACCAGCGATACTTGCGCGATATTCGCTGGTGCAGCAAGGCTGCCGACTACAGGGGCGCAGTGAGGCATCTCGCCCTCAGAAGGTGGGAGTATTCCATGTAAGGAAATAAAGGAGCGGACTGGTTGCTCACGCAGAAGCCGAACCCGCTCTTCACATCCTCCGCTGCGCATGACCTCATGGCTGCCATGTTCGAGCTCTGCAGTGTTTCCAGTTTGCCGAGCTCTCCAGCGCGCCGCCGCCTGCAAGCCACATGGCAAACACGATTGAGGAGACACCTCAGGAGGACATCCTTGGAGGATGTGTTTCCTCCCCGAGGCTCCGGCAATATTGGGCGAGCGTCTCTCAGCACGAAGCGCGCACCACTGACGATAGGATGAACGCGCTAACCAAAGTCGCCCCCCCTCCCCCCTGCGCCCTTGCTCGACCCTCAGAACAAGATGTAACCAGTGGAAATGTTCGGCTCGATGCTCTACCCCGTCTCTGCAGCGCAGATGCCGCGGTCGAGAGCGGAGGGGCTTAATGATGCGCTACTGCCTTCAGCGCCTTCGCCTACTTCCCGAGGTGGAGGCCCCCCCGTATCTTGGAGCAAAGGGGGCCGATCTAGTAGGTTCGCGCTCGGGGCCAAGCCCAATCTCGAGGCCCGGGAGTTTCTGCGCTGCGCTGTCGGCATCGAGGTGATGCATCGTGTTGTCAGCAACTTCAGCCATACGCCCATCCCGATTGCAGGCATCACCCAGGCGCGCGCGCATTGGCTTGGCGCAGCATCCGAGCTCGAGCTGTTTTCCAAGAGCGCTGGGACCTCTCTCCCCCCCATCCCCTTGCTGCATAGGGCTCCTCCTGCCTCTTGCTTCTCCTCGCCATTGTTTTCCCAAACATCCTGTGGCGTTGGGTTTTCGTTTTGAAGAAACGGTCCCCGCGTCTCCTTCTCCTCCTCTCGTGCCCCCCCCCCCGTGGGGGTGCCACATGTTTCTACCGCGCCCAATACAGCGCTTCGTGGCCCCATGGGGAACTACACCGAAGGCCCCAGGGGGGGCCACATGCGTCTGTTCTGACACACCCAGTTCAGCGCTTCGTGGCCCCATAGGGCGCTCCATGTGAGGCCCCAGAGGGGGGGACCACATGCGTCTGTCACATCCAGTACAGCGTTTCGGGGCCTCATAGGGAGGTCCACTGAACGCCCCATGCAGAGGGGAGGTACCACATGCTTCTGCCACACCCTGTTCAGCGCTTCGTGGCCCCAAAGGGAGCTCCACCGAACGCCCCGGAAGGGGGGGGTACCACATGCGTTTGCCACACCCAGTACAGCGCTTCGTGGCCCCATAGGGAGCTCCTCCGAAGGCCCCGAGGGGGGGTACCAAATGCGTCTGCCACACCCAGTGCGGCGCTTCGTGGTTCCATCGGGAGCTAGATCCGCGTAAAGGCCCGAGTGGTGGGTACCACATGCGTCCGCCACACCCAGTACGGCGCTTCGTGGCCCCATGGGGAGCTCCACCGAAGGCCCCAGTGGGGGGTACCAAATGCGTCTGCCATACCCAGTGCACCGTTTCGTGGCCCCATAGGGAACTCCACCTCAGGCCCCAGTGGGGGGGTGGCCGCATGCGTCCACCACACCCAGTGCAGCGCTTCGTGACCCCATAGAGAACTCCACGTAAGGCCCCAGTGGGGGTGGCAACATGCGCCCCCCACGCCCAGTACAGTTGTCCGTGGCCAGTGAGACCGTCCGCATGCGTCCCGCGCACCAATTTTGCACGTTTGCCAACCCACTACGGCACATCGTAACCCCATAGGCAGCCCCACCGAAACCCCCAAGGGGGACCGCCCGCATGCGTCCCGCACGCGCATATTGACATTTTCACCCACCCAGTACAGCGCTTCGTGGCCCCAAGAGGGAGCTCCACCGAAGCCTCCAGTGGGACCGCCCACATGCGTCCCACTCACCCAATGTGGCAGTTTCACACACCCAGTACAGCGTTTCGTGGCCCCATGGGAAGCTCCACCGAAACTCCCGGTGGGGCCGTCCGCATGCGTCCCGCGCACCCGATTTGGAATTTTCACCCACTCAGTATATAGCGCTTGGTGGCCCCATTCGGAGCTCCACCGAAGCCCCCAGTGGGACCGCCCGCACGCGTCCTGGAAACCCAATTTGGCACGTTCACCCACCCAGTACAGCGCTTCGTGGCCCCATAGGGAGGGAGCTCCACCGAACCCTCCAGCGGGACCGTTCGCATGCGCGTCGGAAACCCAATTTGGGTATCACCCACCCAGTGCAGCGCTTCATGGCCCCATAGGGAGCTCCACCGAAGCCCCCACTGGGACCGTCCGCGTGCGTCCCACACACCCAATTTGGCGTTGTCGCCAACCCAATACAGCGTTTCGTGGCCCCACAGGGAGCTCCACCGACGGCCCCAGTGCTACCGCCCGCATGCGTTCCCCCCACCCAGTGCAGCGCTTCGTGGCCCCATAGGGAGCTTCACCGAAGAAAATATCCACAATTGCGGCACCCACAACTGCACATGGTTGGGTCCTTCGCCAGGATATTTGTTTTGTCCTCGAAGGGTGGCGCCTTCAGCGGGCAGCATGCAAATGTTTGATTTTCTGGCTCATCCTCGACGGTAGAAGGAAACAATGTGTGGGCACTCCCCCGCCCCCAATTTCTGAGAGTTCGCTAATTTCTTCCGAGGCCAGTGGGCGCGCCTCGGGGTGGGCCTCCACTTGGATCCGCTCTAGGTGCTTCTGCTTGGCCCGCAGTCGGTGGCGCTGGGCGGCTGCGGCGAGGGGCATGCCGCGGGCGCCTCGCGGGCTAGTCGAGGGTAGGCGTCGTCGATCGGGCGCCCGGGCTGGCGGGGCCGCGGCGGCTGCAGATACTTGTGTGCAACCAGCGTTGGCCATTCTGGGATGGACCAGTACCCCATTTGTTTCTTATGCATCGTTCGAATCGCTTGCGCCATTTGATTTTTTGTTTCGCATCGCTCGTATCACTCGTAGAAAGGGAACGAATGCTGGTTATTGAATCTCTGTCTCTAACGAGCGATACGGGCGATACGTGAAACATCGGGTCCGCTGGGACGAGCAATTTATGAACGATACGTGAAACATACGGCGCCAGTGGACTGCGGCGCACCTGGCACGCCTGGCTCGCTCGGCGCACCTGGCTGCGTGATTGTCATGGCGAGAGCCCTGCGCACCCGCTGGATGATCGGCACCTCGCGGCACCCTATAGGCTAGCGGCAGACCGTCCTGGCTGGCAGTGCGTTTGGCGGCGGTGCGCGCAAGTAATGCGGGAGGCCCGGTCCCTTCAGCAGAATGGCCCACAGCGACGTTCAAGCCAACGCAAGTGGGCAGCGAGGGCTATGACGCTGGTCTCGCAGAAGTTCGCACCCGCAGGTGCGCGCAATCCATTTGCGCATGCCGGTAGAACCTCAGACATGCCTCGGGGTGGGCCTCCAATTGGACCCGCTCTAGGTGCTTGTGCCTGGCCCGCAGTCGGTGGTGCTGGGCGGCTGCGGCGCGGGACATGCCGCGGACGCCCCGCGGGCCCATCGGGGCGAGGCATTGTCGCTCGGGTGCCGAGGCTGGCGGGGCCGCGGCGGCTGCGGATTCTCGTGTGCAACCAGCGCTGGCCATTCTGGGGTGGTCCTCGTCGTGCCCCACCACATTTTTCACGCGTCGCTCGCATCGCTCGCTCCATTGGGTTTTTGTGACGCATCGCTCGTATCGCCCGTCGAGGGAGAAAGAACTCAGATGATTGAATATCTTTCTTTAGCGAGCGATACGAGCGATCTATGAAATATGTGGTCCGATGGGACAAGCGACATGAGCAATGCGTGAAAAAAGGCGCCAGTGGACTGCGGCGCACCTGGCGCGTCTGGCGCACTCGGCGCAACTGGCTGCGTGATTGTCATGGCGAGAGCCCTGCGCATCCGCTGGATGATCTGCACCTCGCGGCGCCCCGTGGGTTGGCGGCCGACCATCCTGGCTGGCAGTAGGTTCGGCGGCGATGCGCGCAAGTAACGCGGGAGGCCCGGTACCTTAAGCAGAATGGCCTACAACGACGTTCGAGCCAACGCAAGTGGGCCATACGGGCCATGCCACGTACGTCATACGGGAGCAACATGTTTTGATATCCCTTTGCGATTGCCTGGCACGGCCCTCCCAGGTGGTTTCGATGCCTGCTAGTCTCGCAAGAATCCGCGCCCGCAGTTTCGCGCAATCTTTTCGCGCATGGTGGCATAACTTAAGACATGAGACGGCAGAAGGAAACAATTCGTGGACACCCCCCGCCCCCCAAACTCAAAGTTGGCACACGCGGGGAAGACTGCGGTCGAAGTGCGGCTTATTCAACCCACCGCCAATATTGATCATTGGGGGGGTCATTGACAAATGACTGCTGCATGAAAGTTCGCTAATTTCTTCCAAGGCCTGGATCTAGGCCCAGCCTAGTTCGTTTCTGTTCCGTTTTCTTCCTTTTTTCTGCTGCTCCTCCTTCTCCTCCTCCTCCCTCCTCCCTCCTGTCGTTTCTGCATTGTCGATTTGTGTTTGATGCCACGGTGTATAGCATGACTTTGCTCATTGCAGGTCGGTTTGTGCGGTGCTCTTGTCTTTTCTGGCGACCTTCTGATTCGCGATGTGGTCGTGTCACCCGTGGTGTTCTGCGATGGACAAGATTCAGCCTACCCTCGATCTCCTCTCCACAATTGTCGTCCTCCCCCTTCCCGCAGGGTGGCACCGGCGGCGTGGCCGACGCCGCCGAGGTGGCTGGCAAGACTCGTTTGGAGGAACCGCGAGCGTTGGGGGGCGTTTCAGACGTTCGCAGCGCTGCCTCGATCGTGTTTGCCAGGGAGCGCGCTCTGTCATCATTTTCTTGCATCTGCAGTCTGATCACATGCCGCGCTCCAGAAAGCGCCTCGCCTTCGAGGAATTGAGGAGTTGCTATTCCTTCCTCCGCAGAAGGCCGGCGGAAGCAGAAAACGTGGGCGGTTCCGTCGGTGGACGCGGGCGGAAGGCCACCCGAAGCCGGAGGAAGTAGAGATCGGTCCCCCAAGCGACGCCAACTTGTTCAGGTTGAGGGTTCCCAGAACGCGCACGTGTCATCAGGTTTCTTCGTTGATTGTTGCGTGTCCTGCTCGCGACTTGTGGCCCCGTCTGGCCACGCGTTCGCTGTCTTGCATTCCGCACCAACTCCCTGCCCATGTGCAGGACAGCCTTTGCACCTTCAGGGTCTTCGAGGAAGCTGCTGATCTACCAGATGTATCGATAGACTTGAACGGCGACAACGACGACGAGGTTCACAAGGCCATGGGTGAAGTTGACAGCGAGCCACCATTTCAGCATTTCGCGGAATTGCGTGAAAACAAGAATGGCAATCGGAGGATGGAATGATAGGGTCAACGAGCCGCTCTTGCGGGATTGAAGGGTCGGTTGGGGGATGGGAAAGAGGGATCAGCCAGACCATCGATGGATTGTGGAATGGGATCGCATGCCGCCGCTTCCTCAGAGAAAGCGGAGGAAAAGGTGGAGGAGCAGGTGGAGGGAGGAAGAGGAGGAGGAACGCCTTACATTGCCTCATGTTCGGTGGCAATGTGGCTGTGCCAGAAAGGATCTGGAGGCAAGGGATGCTCGCTTTCAGTGGGCTCGCCTGTTCTAGGGGACTTGTCGCGCGTGTCAAGAGCTTCTCCTTATCCCCCTCTCGCCCTCGCACGCTCGCAGTGGACGCTGGACGTTCAGGATGCAGTGTGGCGAGCGGCACGACACTCGCACCAGCAAGCGTGCGGGAATTAAATTTGGATTCGCGAGCGATCCCACATGTGGCGTGCCTTGGTTGAACTTGCTGCGTGCGGACGGGCCCTTTCCGTTGCTCCTTTCCTCCTCCGACCGACACCGACGACGACGAAGTGTCATCTCCTTCTGTACATTTCCTTGCCGACCAACGAAGGCTGGAGCATCATTTCTGGTTCGACCAGGCCAGCGCTAGGGTTCCGTGTGCAACGGTAGAATACAACTGGACGGGGTCGCTGGAGGAATGATGCGAATTGAAATTCGAAACACATGATGGCATCGATTCTTGTCTGGCCCTGCCACCCGATCGGAGAAGGCCGGTTCAGTGCGGCTGTCGTGCCGTCGATGCCCGATGCGAGGCCTCGAGTTCACCCGTAGTTACCCAGATATCCAATGTTTTGATGTCTTCCATCGGGGGTCCACAGCAGTCCCGCCCCTTTCCCCAGCCGGTTTTTCGTCCCCTGGCGCTTTTTGAGGGCCCCGGGGCCCGTTGAGGGCCTCCGGAGGCCGACAGCGACCCACAGCTTTCTCGCCGTGAGTTTTTGTTGTCGCAATGCGTCAAGCAGTGGCGAAGCGTCCTGGCGTGCCTATAGCCCTACCAAACACTGTTCTAAGAACCTTTTGTGGTTCCCACGGAATGTTCTTAGAACATTTCTGGCCGGGGCTGTCTTGTTTTACCACATCGGGTTAATGTTCTAAGAACATTGTCTTTGTTCACAGAACAGCTTGGGGTTCTAAGAACATGTCGTGGTAGGACAGTAGGAATACCGGGACGGTCTGTCCCTGCTCAAATGCGAGCACGTCTGGGTGAGGCGCCCTTTGCTCGCCCCAGGCTTATGGGCCTGCTTTCCACAACCACCACCATAAGTTGGAGGGGGGGAGGAGGAGGAGGAGGAGGAGGAGGAGGAGGAGGAGGAGGAGGAGGAGGAGGAGGAGGACCCCCTCCCCCTCCTACTTATGATGGTGGTGGTGGTGGGAAACAAGCCCGCCCCAGGCGCCCCCCGCACAGCACAGCTCGAGCACCGCCCCCGCGGCACACCCCGCGGAGAGCGGAGGCCCGCGCGGAGACCGCCCCGGCGGTTGCCCTGACGCCAGGCGCCGCGCGGCCCCGCCGGCCCCGCGCGGTGCGGCTCGGCTCGCGAGGTCTTTCGAGAGTGGAGAAAGCAGACCGACACAGTCCCAGAGATCCAACGTCTTGAAAAAATCAAGACGGAGGTTTCTCTAAATTTTGGACCTCCGGGGGCCCTCGCCGGGCCCCGGGACCGTGGGGGAAAAAAACCAGTCTTGGGGAGTGGGTCGAGATTGCCAGGGACCCCGTATTGAAAAAAAATCACGACAGGGAAAAATCGGGGGCCCCCAAATGGGGTGGTGACCACACCGTGCTGTGCGTCGGTGTGGATTCGGGGTCACCGCTCGGTTTTGGGACTCGGGCCGTTCTCCGAGGACGTCTCGGGCGACAGGGGGCCTCCAGGGTCCCAAGACCGTGCGGTGACGGACCGTGCGGTGAGGTCTTGGGGGATTTCGAGGTCACCGCACGGTCCGTCACCGTACCGTTTCAAGACTCCAAACAAAGCAGACCGACACAGTTGATCGTCGACTCCAAAGAAAGTGCACGAGAATGTGGGAAGCGGGGGGGAAGACGAACACCCAGAGCATGTGGGGAAATATGGGAAATCGTGGGATGTGTGTCTGCGTGCGTGCGTGCGTGTGTGTGTGTGTGTGTGTGTCCCTGGTCCCTTTAGTCTCGTCGGTGGGCCGCCTCCAGACGTGCTCGCGCCGCGGAAGAAACGTGGCGCAGTTGTTCGATCGTTTTGTTAATTTTGGGGGCCCGGGCCGCGCCTAGGGCCGTCGAAACATCAGCTCGGGAAGGACACGCCAGCATTGGCGAAAGAATGGTCGGGGTCTCCGGAGGCCCCGTAGCGAAAGAGCCAGCGCAAAACGAAGTCAAGACATGGCATGTTTGGGCCGAGAGGAGGGAGTTGGCGATATGGTAAAGGGAAGGGGGGGGGGATGAGGGGAAGGGGGGGGGAGAGGGGCTGGGGGAGGGGGGGCGGGGGACACTTTGTGGGGGGGAGGGAGGGGGAGGAGCGGAGGAGAATTTGGGGGGAGAGGGGCTGGGGCGGGGGAGGGAGCGGAGGAACATTTGGAGGGAGATGCCCCCAGTGCGGTTTCCTTGCCCAGAAGGCCGCACGGCGTGCGCGCGAGCCGTGGCCGCCTGCCTCTGCGCCCCCCCCCGCGGCGCCGCCGCGACGAGATCAGAGCACCCAGAGCCCACCAGTGCGGATGTGGCTGTGAGCGGGCGCCCAGTCTGCCTTGGCGGGGATGCGGGGCTCGAGCCTTCACGCAAAGAAGCCCGCCGTTGGCGCCGGAATCTGTCTTCTCGAGCTCATCGTAAGCATCCGCCCCGCCGTGGTGACCGATTTCCGTCTGTCAGAAGACAGTATGTGTGTGTGCGTGTGTGTGTGTGTGTGTGTGTGCGTGTGCGTGTGCGTGTGCGTGTGCGTGTGCGTGTGCGTGTGCGTGTGCGTGTGCGTGCGTGTTCGTGTGTGTGTGTGTGCGTGTGCGTGTGCGTGTGCGTGTGCGTGTGCGTGTGCGTGTGCGTGTGTGTGTGTGTGTGTGTGCGTGTGTGTGTGTGTGTGCGTTTGTGTGTGTGTGTGTGTCTGTGCGTGTGTGTGTGTGTGAGTGAGCGTGTGTGCGTGTGTGGCGTGCAACTTTGTTTCGTGCACGCCGGTTTGGGGGCGCCTCGCTTGCCCTCCACCCAGGAGGTTGGGTGCAGTTCAGCATGTTTGTTCGCGTCCCGTTGATGCATTCGCGACGGTGCCGTCACCTTGCTGGAGGAGGGTTGTGTATGTCGCGGGGCAAGCTCCAGCTCGAGCGAATGCGACCTCAGCTGCCTCGATACGCCCGTTCTGAAACGCAACACGCCCCGTGTTCAAGACGTCCGTGTCAATACGTTGCGTGTCGCCTCCACGTATTGGACCACGTTTTGGCGAATGCATCGCGTCGGACCCACGGATTCAACCTACGTGTTGAGCTCCGTATCTATACGGTACGTGTTGCGTGTTCCGTATCGGGGCAGCTAAGAATGCGGCATGAGGCCGTTAGAATGCAGCGCGGTCGCGGCACCAGCCGCCATGAGAGTAGCAACAAGTGTGTCGCAGAGCGGGCCGTCGGCAGGTTGCGAGGCTGGAAAGCCAACGTCATGGTTCTTGCCACTGGCACAGATCTTGCTTTGAAAACATGATGGACGGGTCACGGGCGGGGCGTGCTTGGGTCCTGAGTGTTGGCGTCTCCTGGATGGGTCGCGGGGGAGCCGCGAGAGGGTCGCGGGTGGGTCGTAGGCGGATCACGGGGGGGACGACGGCAAGACAAGACCACGTCGGCGATGTAGTCGGGACCGCGGGGCCCCTCGTCAGCCGCGCACCCGAGGACGTCGAAAGACCGCTTGGCCCCCTTCCTCTTGGCATCGCTCGGACGTGCGCATGTTTGCTTCGGTGAGGAGCATCCTTGATCGTTTGGCGAAAAAGCCACGCACGAAACCGAAAAAAACACAGGGAATGGACGTCCGAGCGATGGCCAGTCCTACGATTCCCACAACTGCATGACGAACGCAAGGAACACCTGCCGCCAGAACAGGCGCGACTACCTGAACTAATGATGTCATTGTGGCACGGGCTCTTGGCGGCGCGCTGGTAGTGTCCAGCGGGGGTATCCAGTGGATTGGGGGGATTTGGGGGGATGCGTTGCTCACGATGCTGAGGGCCTCGCACTCCAAAGCATACACATGCTGTCTGGTTGTCTCTTGACGGAGGCTTGTGCTCTCTCAGTCCTGCCTCTCCCTCGCCCACACAAACAAATCTTGGTTATCTCTGTGTGTGTGTGTTTGTACAGTTGCCTTCGGCAAGTCCCGTCACCGTACCAGCTCAGTACTGTTGGCGACGACCTGTGGAGGGGCGACAGGAGGCTGTTAGATGTGGATCGAGCGACGTCAAATGTACAGCGTTCGTTGACAGTTGGAGTCAATGTCAGAATGTTGGGACATGCCGTACTTCGGCCATCTTGATTTCGCCCTGAGGTGAGATGGGCGGATGAAGGAAACAATGATGAGGAGGGTTGGGCGAGGACAGGGAGAAACAAAATGAGGAAGACCATCGTAGTGGACGAATGGGATGTGGAACACCTTGATGGTGATTATGTCGATGAGGGGGAGAAGGTGGAGGAGGTGGACGAGGAGGAAGAGGAAGCTCTTCACACGTGACCTTTTCGTCTTCACTTTTTCAGGAGCTCTCACAGTGCTCATTTGGGCCGTCTTGGGGCTGCCTTGGGGTCCACGAGGGAGGGCAGTTTGGGGGGGGGGGGGGCCTTGGGGTCATCTTTGGCCGTCTTGGGGCTACTTTGGGCCGTCTTGGGGCTATGTTGTGAGGTCTTGGGGCCCTCTTGGCCGTCTGAGACATCTCTTGAGGGCGTTGTAGGGTGTCTTTTGGCCGTTTTGGGCCTTCAAGGTGCCCTCCTCGTGGGCTGTTCTGGGACCGTCTTGGGGCTCGTTTTGCCGTCATCTTGGGTCTTGGTGCCGTCGTGTCTTGGTGCCGTCTCGGGCCGTCGAGGGTCCCCCTGAGGCCGTCTTGAGTCCCTCCGGAGGCCCTCTTGGGCCAGCTTGGGGCTATCCTGGGTCCGTCCTGGGCTGCCTAGCGGCCCTCTTGGGAGGAATATTGGGGCACTGGCGGAGTTTAATTGGGCCATCTTGCACGCCTTCAGGGCCGTATGGAGCTGCAGGAAGTCCGAAGAGGTGAAGGTGCCCAAAACTGTGAAATACTAGAAAGGGAGAATCTATGATTCTGGCTTCTTCGGGCCGTGATTCTGACACCCTCCTCTGTGCGCCCATTTTGGCTCAAGATGAAAAGGAGATATTGCTGTTCATCGGCATATTATCTCATCATGGTAGCGTGAGCTGGCCACTCACTGCTGCCGACCCCACCCAGGCCTCGGCGCGCCGCGGCCGCGGGCGCCACGGCGAGCCGGCAGGAGGCTCGAGACTGGAGCAGGGCGGCATCGACCGCGGCAAGCTCGGCAGCGACCGAGCGACCGGCAGGGGCCGGGAAGAGCGGCCGCAGGCGCGGCGAGAGGAGTGAGGCAGCGATCGAGACCAGGCGCAAGGCCCTCCAGTTCAAGCACGACTTGAGGGAGACTGGCAACAAGCTCCGAGACCTCGCACATATCGAGGACCATCCCTCGGAGAACTCATCGGACGCCATTGAGGAGGCGCAGAAGGAGGTCCTAGGCAGGATCACGGACCTTGAGCGCACGAGGCAGCAGATAGCTGAGAGCCGGGAGGAGCTCGCAGAGAGACACGCGATCAAGCATGGATGAGCAGGTTCGGCAGCAGTTCGAACTGCTGAGGCAGGAGTTCGCAGCGCAGATGAGCCAGGCAGCCGACGAGATGAGGAGGCTGGAGAGCGAGAATCATCGGCTTCAGCAGCAAGTAGCAGGAGGCCTCGCGGCAATTCCGCAGGCGATCGAGCGTATGGGCGAGCAGATCAGAGGCGCGTCGAGCGCGGGCGTAGCCGCTCACGGTCTCGTCGACACGAAGGGGATTGGCAAGCCCACGACGATGGGCGACGATCAAGAGAAGTTCGGCGCTTGGAATCGCAAGATGGAGAACTACGTGATCGGCGTGTACGGAGAGAGTTTTCGTCCCGTTCTTCGGTGGGCTGCAGAAGCCGAACGCCCCGTGACGATCGCGGGGGCTCAGGCGGCGCACGACGGAGTGCCAGAGCTGGAGACAAAGGTCAACCAGCTGTACGCGGCGCTGATCAGCACGACGGCGGACGGGAGCGAGAGCAACGACCTCGTGACGGGCGCTCCCGATGGGAACGGTCTCGAAGCCTGGCGGAAGCTCCACCGCAGGTGGGATCCGACGACAGGTCCGAGGAAGAGGCTGATCCTGAGGTCGATCATCTCGCCTCCGAAGTGCAGCGCGGACGAGCTGGGATCCGCCTTAGAGAAGTGGATCCAGCAGATAGGCAGGTACGAACGCCGCCAAGGAGAAGATGGTCTAGCCGAGCTGCCGGAGGATATCAAGATGGCGGCTCTCGAGATGCTCGTGCCTCAGGACATCGAGAACCACCTCGTCCTCAACAAGCATCGGCTCGAAACGTTCCAGGACAGTCTGAACGAGGTGATGACGATCGTGGAGGCTCGGACCGGCGTGAAGATCAAGGAGCCATCGATCCGTGCGCGGGCGCATCATCCGGACGACATGGACGTCGGGTCATTCGGAGCCCCGAAGGGCAAAGGCAAAGGCAAGGGCAAGGACGGCAAGAGCAAAGGGAAAGGCAAGACTCAGGAGCCGAAGGGGAAGAGCAAATCGACGAACGGATCATACTCAGGCTCCCGCACGTCCCCGACGGGTTCGGGCCGTGGTTCAGGGCACACGGCACCTCGAAACACCAGCGGGCGCTTCGACGGCTACTGTCGGAACTGCGAGAGATGGGGCCACAAGGCATCCGACTGCTGGAAGAAAGAGCAGGGATCGAGTTCGAGGGCTGGAACTGGATCCGCAACGGGGGCAAGCGCTGGTGGTAAAGCCGGTAGCCGCGGCGGCAAGGCCGGCGGCAAGGCGGCAGGCAGCCTGGAGGAGGAGCCTGAAGCGGAGGTCGCCGCTCTGGACATGGGCAGCCTGGACTGCCTGGAGCTCGCCAGCGGCAGCGGCCGCGGCGTAGCGGCGGTCGATCTCTCCCCCTTCGCGCAGGACGACTGGATGAAGTTCAACTGGGACAGCGGTGCAGCTATCTCAGCATTCCCTCGGAGCTTCGCGCCGCCGACGGGAATGAAGGGCAACGGCAGCACGTATCGTACGGCCAGTGGTGAGCTCGTCCCGGACGAGGGCAGCTTGCAGCTCAAGGCGGAGGACGAGTACGGAGTGCTACGAGCGCTCAAGGGACGCGTGACGAACGTGCACAAGCCGTTGATCTCGGTGGGGCAGGCAGCAGGAGCTGGACAGTGTTCATTCCTGGGCCGCAATGGCGGCTGGATATTCCACGAGAAGAGCCCAATCGGCAAGCGCGTGGTAGGCATGCTCGAGAAGGAGGCGAAGGCGGCGAAGCACCAGATGCTGCCGGTCTATCGCGAGCAGGGCGTCTACAACTTCTACCTCAAGAAGGGCCAACATGGCTCGGTTGCTCCTCTCGAGGAGGGACTTTCGGCGAAGTCGAAGTCCGAGCTGGTGGAGCTCCTCAGCGGCAAGTCGAAGGAGGAGCTGCTGGAGATCCTCGAGAAGACAGTCCCCAGGAGGCAGCCCTCGGCGTAAGCCCACTGGAGGACTTAATACCACGGCCCCCGGCGGCATCGGCTGCGGGGGCGGCAGCGGCGGGGTCGGGACCTTCCGACGTGAGACCGCCGGGTTTTCAGCCAGCGGCAGCTGCTGCGGCCGACGCTTTGCCAGCTGCTCCTGATGGACAGCAGGCCGACGAGGGCGAGGAGGAGGCTCGCCCGAGAGTGCTGAAGGCACCTCATGAGCCCTCTCAGAGGGAGATCGCCGAACACGAGGCGATGGGACACGCGACTTATCGCAGCTGGTGTCGCGTGTGTATTGCGGCAAAGGGCCAAGGCCAGCCGCATCTCCGCGCACCGGAGGACGACGAGACAGCGGTGCCGGTGGTCTCGTCCGACTACGCCTTCATGGGCCAGGACGACGCGGACACCATGCCGATGCTGGTCCTTAGGGATCGGCGCTCGAAGATGATGGCGGCGACATTCGTGGAGAAGAAGGGCGACGACGCCTACGCCATCAAGTTCTTCGCACGCTTCTTGCGGATCCTGGGCTACAGGAAGATCGTCAACAAGTCCGACGGCGAGCCAGCGATCCTGCTGGTCAAGAGGCGTGCGGTGGAGGAGGTTCCTGGCCTCGAGGCCATTCCCCAGGAGTCGGCACCGGCCGATCATCAGGCCAATGGGGAGATTGAGGTCACGGTGCGCGAGATCAAGAAGCAGGTGCGGGCGCTCAAGATGGACCTGGAGTCCAAGCTGGGCGTCAAGGTGGAGGACAAGCACCCGGTGCTAGCGCACCTGCCGGAGCACGCCGCATCGGTAATCAACCGATACCGGCGCGGCCAGGACGGCAAGACCGCTCTTCAGCGGCTCACGGGACGGCAGTGGAGGAAGCCGGTCCCGCTCTTCGGCGAACGCTTGATGGCGCGGTTCGCCGGGGAACGCGTGAGGAAGAACGCGCTGGAGGAGCAGATGGTGGAGGCTCGCTACATCGGCCACCACCCGCGCGACGGCTCGATGATGGTCATCACGAGCGACGGCGTGAAGAAGGCGGTCGGCTTCCGCAGCCTGCCGCAGAGCGAGAAGTGGATCACGGCGGGCTGGGATGGCCTGAAGGGCCTGCCGTGGGACGTGGCTCCGCGTGCGGCAAGCGCGCCGCGGGCCATCGTCGGACCTGGAGAGGTCGGTCCGCCACCAATTGTGGTGGTGTCGCCGCAGCCGCAGGCGCCGAGGAGGATGTACGTCCTCAAGGCGGACATCGAGCGGCTGGGCGCAACGCCGGGATGCCCAGGGTGCATCTCGATCGCTCGGCACGGCCGGGTGCTGGCTGGCCACGCGCACAACGCGGTGTGCAGCAAGAGGATCTTCGAAGCGCTGGACGCGGAGGAGGCAGGCCGGGAGAGGACCGGCCAGTATCGAGAGCGGAGGCAGGGCCAAGAGGCCAGAGTCCGACCGGCGGCATCGGCCGCGGCAGGGACCCCTCCGCCGAAGACGGCTCGGAGGATCACCGAGCCGGTGGCAGCGGCGGCAGCGGCATCGGCCGCGCCGGCCGCGACCCGCTCGGCAGCAGCGCCAGCCGTGGCAGCCACGGCGGCGCGCCTGCGAGAGAGCCAGCCGGTAGCACCGGGCTTCGGCGTGGCGGCTCCTTCAGGAGGAGCGAGCTCCAGTTCGGGAGCGGCGCGAGCGGCAGAGGCCGCCGCGGATGTCGACATGACCGCGGCTAGGTCGCGGCTGAAGCGCTCGGCAGAGGTGGCCCCGGATGATGTGCCGGAGGCCCTCGAGCGCGGTGACCCACAGCCGGCAGACGTGCCGGTACCGGTGGACATGGAGGATCTCGCGGCGCAGCCGGCGCCGGCGGAAGGACCTCAGCTGCCAGCTGGAGTGGCAGTCGTGTGGAACGCCAGTGAGGGGAGGCACATGCGGGTGCTCGCCCTCGATGTGGCGTCGATCGAGCTGGTTGAGCTCGGAGTGCTGACGAGAGCGAAGGCGGAGTTGCTCCCGCTCGTTCGCGAACAGGTCAGTGGCCATTGGGCCAGCGCCGGCGTGGACATCGCCGACGAGGAGGTGGACAGCATCGCCCTATCGGCGTTGCAGCTGGGCGCCGTGGACGTGGCCGAGGTGTACTCGCCACATCGGTTCTCGGCTCGGGCAGCGGAATTTCAGCTGCGCCCGGGCTTCGCGGCGGACCTGGAGGAACTCAAGGAGGACGGGGCGCCGTGGGACTTGCGGCGCCCCGAAGATGTCAAGGAGCTCGAGAAGCAGCAGGAGCGGATGGATCCCATCCTGCTCACGGGGTCCCCTCCATGCGAGAAGTTCAGCTTGCTGAGGGGCCTGAGCGCCAAGTTCAGGACCGATGAGCAGGAGGCGGCTGAGATGGAGGAGGCCAGACACCACCTGAAGGTGGCAGTCGACGCCTACTGGCGTCAGCTCAGGAAGCCAGGCAGGTACTTCTTGCATGAGCATCCCTGGAGCGCGCGATCGTGGAATGAGGACATCGTCAAGGAGCTGGTCGCGCATCCAGGAGTCTTCACGGTCAAAGGCCCCATGTGTCGGTGGGGCATGAAGCTCACGAACCCCCGCAATGGCCAGGAGGAGTTCGTGCGCAAGGAGACCGGATGGGTCACCAACCATCCAGGCCTAGCCCGGAGGCTGCAGGGCACTTGCAGCAATGTGGACGGCCGCGCGGAATGGCATCGCCACATCACGCTCGTGGGCGGCATCGCGCGGTTCGCGAAGGTCTATCCACCGAAGTTGGTGGAGGCGGTGCTGGAGGAGCTCAAGGACACGCTGAATGACGTGGGAGAGCTCAGCACCGCCCAGGTGCAGCAGTCGGGCCCAGTCCCTGTGGACGCGGCAGTGCCGCCCGGGGACTGGACGAGTTACTGGGACGACGTCAATGGCGGCTACCTGGAGGCGGGCCTTGTGGCCCAGGCTCGCGCGGTCGAGCGCGAGTGGGTCAAGAAGCAGGAGCTGATCGAGATCGTCCCGAGGTCTCAGGCTTTCGCCGAGACTGGGCGTCCGCCCATCCCACTCAAGTGGATCGACACGAACAAGGGTGACGCGGAGAGGCCCAACTACAGGAGCAGGCTCGTCGTGAAGGAGATCAAGGCGAAGAAGCGCCCTGACGAGCAGCTGGAGGCGTCCGAGGTCTTCTCGGCCATGCCTCCTCTGGAGGCCATGCGGTCGCTGGTCTCGCTGATGGTCACGTGGGCGCGGGAACCACCGCTCCACGTTCAGGAGTCGCTTCGCAAGAAGGGCAGGAAGCCGGGCAACTTTAAGATCGGCTTCTTCGACATCAGCAGGGCGCACTTCTACGGGAAGGCGCAGCGGAGGATCTTCGTGGAGCTGGAAGAGGAGAGTCGCAAGGAGTACGGCGAGGACAAGCGCGGCCTACTCCTCAAGTCCTGGTACGGCACGCAGGACGCCAGCAAGATCTGGCAGGGCGACTACACGGAGCTGCTGGAGGAAAACGGCTACAAGGCGGGCGTGTCGTGCCCAGCGGTCTTCTACAAGGAGGTGGACGAGACGAGGCTGCTGGGGCACGGCGACGACTTCGCGGTGCTGGCTCAGCAGCAGGACATCGACAGCTTCGAGGCCACGCTGGGCAAGAAGTACGAGTTCAAGAAGACTGCGAACCTAGGCTTCGACGAGGGCGATGACAAGCAGGCGGTCTTCCTGAATCGGGTCATCGAGGTCAGTGCGGGAGTTCCGCCTGGCGGTGGCCGGCCCTGCCGGCATGCGATGATCGAGCCGGACAAGCGGCACGCGGAGATCGTGATCGACGAGTTGGGTCTCAGCAAGGCCAACGGCGTGGACACGCCGACGGAGAAGCGCAGCGCCGACAAGCAGATGATGGATGCGAAGTCGGCGGCGTTGGGAGCAGCGGAAGCTTCGCGCTTCCGATCCCTCACCATGAGGGTGGCCTACCTGTCTCAGGACAGGCTGGACTTGGCTGAGGCATCGAAGACGCTCGCCAGGTCCATGCAGACGCCAACGGAGGCGAGCTGGCTCATGCTCAAGAGGGTTGGCCGCTACCTCAAGCGGCATCCTAGCACGGTGACGGTTTTCACGGAGCAGAAGACGTTCGACAAGATCCGGGTGTACGTGGACTCCGATCATGCAGGCTGTGCAGTCACGCGGAAGAGCACCGGAGGCTTCGTGGCGATGCTGGGGCATCATGTAGTCAAGCACGGCAGTAACCTGCAGTCGACGGTTTCATTGAGCAGCGGGGAGAGCGAGTACTACGCCCTGGTGAAGGGCGGGAGCGTGGGCCTAGGCCTTCACAGCCTCTTCGCGGATTGGGGGCTGGACCTGAAGGTGGAGCTTGCCTCGGATTCATCGGCGGCCCGGGGCCACGTCCAACGGCGAGGTCTCGGGAAGATGCGGCATGTTCAATCACGATACTTGTGGATCCAGGAGCGTGTTGGCAAGGGCGACCTCTCGATCGCTGCAGTTCCTGGCAAGAACAATGTCGCGGACGTGCTGACCAAGAGCGTGGGTGGCTCCCTTTTGAGGAGACACATGGCTACGCTGAACATCTGGGATCGGGCACCGAGCTCGAATCAGAAGGACATCAAGTGATGGAGTGGATCGAATCCATGCTCCGCTACCTGTGGGGCTGGATGAGGTTCCGCCGGTGGCGGTATGATCGCGCCGGGCGGAGTGAGGGGCTCGCGGCATGGCCGCAGCCTAGCCGATGAGCTGGGCGCGTCGGCTCGGGCGCGCCCGCGTACGACTTAGGTCGTGCCTGGCCGGTTTGCGGCCAGGCCCGAGGAGGAGTGATTCTGACACCCTCCTCTGTGCGCCCATTTTGGCTCAAGATGAAAAGGAGATATTGCTGTTCATCGGCATATTATCTCATCAGGCCGGGCGGGGTCCTCTTGTGGCCCTCTCTGGCCGTCTGGGCTTCTTGGGCCGTCTTGGGGCCATATTTGGCCACCTTCGGGCCATCTTGCGCCTCCTTGAAGGCATTTTGGGCCGTCTTGGCGGCCTTGGTTGCCTGCCTCGGCTGTCTTGGAAGCCCTGGAGCGCAGATCCATCGTTTTCTGCGATCCATAGTTTGTCCACTGGGGTTCGTGATCCCGTGAACGCGGATCAAGTCTTTGCACGAGGGATCGTGGCTTCGGGAGCGCGGAGCCACAACAAAAGCCAGTTAGACACTATAGCACTTGGCGTTTTGCTTGCCAAGGGGTAGCGGTGGAGGGACTTGGCCTTCGAATTTCTGCGAGAGGACTTTGACGATGTGGTCTTCACGTCCTCGACGCATGTGGCACTCTGTTCTCCGGCCCTGGGGATACGCTTTTGAGCCCCCCGCACTTCGTCAGGGGATTGTTTTGACCCACGCCGGTTGTTGAAAGTAGGTAGTTTTGGATTCCCAGATCCCAATCTATTTCAAGCGCCTTCCTACTTCAAGAATCGACACGCTTTTTCTGTGTTTGTTATTCCCTGGGGGGCCTGGGCCCAATCAACTTAATCCGCCTTCCTACTTCATGTTTTCACCTACTTCTTCCGACCGACGTGTATCTACACACACACACGTTTGTTTTCTGTGACGCGCCGGTAATCTGCAGCTAGCGGTAAGAGTCGAGCACGGCGGTGACGAGATATTTCTGCACTTTTTGTGGAAACTTGCGGACACGTAATTTCAACGAGTGCTGGACGTAGCCGACCGGCCACCTGCAGGAAGCAGGCAGTGCAAGAGGAAAGTAGAGAAGCCATCGCAACAAACACACACACACACGCACACCACCCCAGCTTCCAGGGGGGGGGGCCACCCCCGGTTTCTCAGGGCTGGCAATTCATTGATGTACCGTGGTGTGCTACATTGTTGTGGTATGCTATGATGCGTTATGCGTAGATATGTTTCGCTACGTTGTGGCATATGTTGGAACGGTATGCTGCACCGTACTAGTATGTGCACTGATGTCGTATGTGATGTGTTGTTATTATTCTTATTATTATGTGGCGCTACTCTATGGCTGCACATGCTACTTATTACTCTATACTGAGAGCTGCACATGTTATGCTTTGTCATGGTACGCCATACAACGCTGTGCTTATTATGTGCCGTGCTATGGTTTGCTCTGCAATGTTCTGCTTTACCGTGGCCAGTCATAGCACAAGCGTAGATCATATTCTACAGTATCATGTCTCCCGCTTGGTGGTCCTAAACTGTGCGAACCAAACAAGCTGGGGTCGCGCTGGCTTCTCAGTTGACTTGTCTGTGATATGTCGCGTGTTTTTTGGTGTTGGGGGGTGCTCGCCGCAGGGGGCTTGCGGGTCAGAAAGCTTGAGCTCCGTCTTGCTGCCATGCCAACTGCCGCAGTCAACTGCGGAGGCTGGCATCCTCCTGCCATTCTCATGCGCAGGGGTGCATTCTGGCCCAAGGAGGGCTCGGGCGTGACTGGGTGCAGGTCTCCCCGTCCTGTGCGCGCCGTGCAGCCACGCAGCATGCTGGCGCCGCCGGAGGTGCCCGCGAGGCGAGATGACCCTGCCTGCCAGGTCTCCGGGTATAGCCAGGACCCCGGGGCAAGGGACCCGGTGAGTGATAGGGCCCCGCCCCTAAATCTGCCAGAATCACTAGACCAGGTCTGCCGTAGCTGGTGTTTTTTTATAGGTGTCGGCAGTTCCGGTTAGTGGAACGGGGCGGGGGGCGTCCCCCAGCACACATCATTCAACCAGGTCCCACTAAACCCAGTTCTGCCAACGCCCGAAGGTCTACGTCGGTAACCTTCCCTACAGCTTGAGGTGGCAGGACTTGAAGGACCACATGAAGCAGGCCGGCCAGTGCCTGGACGCCCGCATCTTGACGGTCGACGGCACGGACTGGGGCCGCTCCCGAGGAGTCGGCATCGTCAGGTACTCCAGCGAGGAGGAGGCGCGGGCGGCGATCTCGCAGCTCAACGGCCTGGAGCTCCAGGGGCGCGCGCTTGTCGTGGATGTCTGGACGGGGAGCTCCGGCAAGTGGCAGCAGGAGCGGGCCGAGAGGATCCAGAGCGTGAGCCAGGCGGCGTCGGTGGAGCAGGCCAAGCCGGGCGACTGGATCTGCCCGTTTTGCAAGGACCTCCAGTTCGCCCGCAACGTGTCCTGCCGCACGTGCGGCGCCGGCGGCGGCGGCAAGGGCAAGTCGCAGGAGAGCGTGGAGCTCGCGAACGGGCAGGTGGCCCGGCCGGGGGACTGGATATGCCCGGGCTGCGACGACCTCCAGTTCGCCCGGAACGCCGTCTGCAGGAATTGCGGCGGCGGCAAGGTCAAGCAGTGGCGAAGCGTCCTGGCTCGCCTATAGCCCTACCAAACAATGTTCTAAGGACCTCTTTGCGTATTCCACAACATGTTCTTAGAACATTTCTGGCGGAGCCTGTCTTGATTTAACACATCGGGCTGTCCTAAGAACTTTGTTTTCGTTCTTAGAATATTTTTGGGTTCGAACATTTCGTGGTAGGAATATAGGAATGCCGGGACGGTCGGTCCCTGCTCAACAAGGGCGGCGGCAAGGGCGGCTACGGGAAGGGTGGCTACGGGAAGGGCGGCGGGGGCTTCGGCAAGGGTTTCGGCCGAGGCAACCAGGTGCATGGCGAGAACCTGGTCTACATCGGGAACCTCTCCTACGACGTATCGAAGACGCCTGCGGCGAACCACCTCCGTCCCCCTGCCTTTCTCTGGCCAAGCCATTGCACCATTTGATCCCCCAGTCGGTGTGGAGCCCCTTGAGGGAACATTTGAGAGAGGAAGAGACAGGAGGATGAGAGGGAGGAGAGGCTTGATTGCAGGCGCTCTGCCAGCGGTAGCAGACGGCATGGGAGCCAATAGGAGCCAATACGGGGAGGAAAAAAGGGTCTCGTGAGGCCGTTTTGTGGCTTCCTGGGGGCTTCGTGGGAGACAGTCCGGGGTCTCTGAACGGGCTCTTTTGGGGGGGGGACGCTTGTGGGCTTCTGGAGACCTCGAGGGGACCTCTTGGCCTTCGGAGGCCGTCTTGGAGCCTCTCTGGGCAGTCGTGGGTCCCTCTTCGGGCGCTGGAGGGCCGTCTTGGAGGTCTCTGTGGCTGCCTTGGCGTCCTCTTGAGGCCTTATTGGGCCGTCTTGCAAGCCTCTTGGGGACCTCCTGGGCCGTCTTTGGGCGATCTTGAAGGCCCACGGTACCGTCTTGAAGCGGCGGAAGCCCGATAAGGCGAAAACGCTACAATCATTGAAAATCACATCGTGCATCAATGAATTGGGAGCCATCGTGGGGCGTCTTGGGGGCCGCCTTGGGCTTTCTCGGTGCCATCTTGGGCCGTCTTGGATGCTTCTGGGGCCGCCTTCGAGACTTCTTGGGGCCATCTTGGGATCTCTTGGGGCCAGCCGTCTTGGAAACCATTTTGGCCATCATGGAGGCCATCTGGGGGCCGTCTTGAGCGGGAACACCGACGTCCTAGGATATTCGCGCGGCTCTCCGGGTGGCCGGCGGGCTGGGCTGGAGGCTGGCGTGATGTTGTCAAATATTCAGCAGTCAAACATTCGACTCGCCAGGCGCCCCTTTGATGAATCAACAGGGGGTAGGGGATCGAACCTCCGTCTCTTGCCTGTCGGAGGCGCCGGTGCGGCCAAACGTTGGGCCGAGGTCTGGCCAAGCTATTAGATATGTGCTCCCCCAGCCGTTGTGGAGCCTCTTAGAGGAACACTTCGGAAAGGAAAGGATGATGAGAGGGAATCGAAGTAGGACAAGGAGGAAGACGGGGAGCTAGGAGGAAGAAGGAGAAATTAAGGAAAGGCCAGAGGCTCTTGAAGCCTGCCTGGGGCCTCCTGGGAGCTCCCTGGGAGCGCCTCTTAGAGGCCTCTGATTGGCCCCCTCTTGGGGGCCTCCTGAGGGCTTCTGGGGACTTCTGGAGGCTTCTTGGGATCTAGATCGTTGGCCTTCGAAGGCCGTCTCGGGGCACTCTCTGGGCAGTCGTGGGTCCCTCTTCGGGCGCTGGAGGGCCGTCTTGACGGTCTATGTGGCTGTCTTAGCGGCCTCTTGGGGCCTCTTGAGGCCTTATTAGGTCGTCTTGCGGGCCTCTTGGGGGCCTGTTGGGGCGACATGGGGGCCTATGGGGCCGTCTTGGAGCTTCGGAAGCCTGAGACGGCGAGAACGCCAATAGCATTGAAGAGTTTGCGTGACATAAATGGTCTGGGCCTCTGGGTGTCCTCGTGTTGGGCCATCTGGAGGGCATATTGGCATGCCTGCCAAATCTTGGCCGCCTTGCAGGCGTCTTGGGACAGTCTTGGAGACCATCTTGGGCAATCTAGGCCGTCTTGGAGACCATCTGGGCCGTCGTGCAGGCCATCCTGAGGCCGTCTGGAGCGGGAAGACCGACGGCCTGGGAAGTTCATGGGTCTCTCCGAGTGGCCAGCGGGCTGGGCCGGAGGCCAGTGGGAAGCTTTGAAACAAGACATTTCTCGACGCGGAGATCCCCAGATGCGTATCTCATTTTCCTGTTGCATCTCGCTGATAGCGTTTGCCTGTGAGTATCTGCTTGTGGGAACGACGGGTGCGACGACGACGTCAGTCACGATATCAGCGATGGTCAACCCAACAGCTTGGCCGCGAGACGAAGGAATGTGTCCTGCACCCTGGCGGCTCCCCTCTTGGATGCTGAAAGCGGTGCCTAGCTCTAGATAGCCTCGGAAGCAAACCGAACGTTTGTGTGGGCCCGCGCCGTTACGACACGTAGCGCAACCCAAACACCAAGGTATCTCGAGCTACCTGTTCGCCCCCAAAAAGTTGCTTGAAATACCTGCCCTGTTTGGCCGATCCGCGGGCTTTCGTTCGTGACGATGCTTCGCGATCGATCGTGACGAATGTGAACTGCTGTACTGCTCAAGTCCTTGGCCGCACTTTGGCAGACAACAAAAAACGCTCGAGGCATCCCACGATCTGGGCGCGAACGGGGGTGTGCAAACACCCCTGGCGGTTCCCCCCTGGCGTGCTGGAGCTAGCGCCTCGCTGGAGACATCCCAGCGATCTGCTCCGAACGTGAGGGGGTCGGGGGCGCCGAAGCAAGCGAGCTTCTCGAGGCATCCCCACAAGCTGAGCGCGAGCAGTCCCGTGCGTCTCCCCGTGGCCCGAGACATCCTCGTAGTCTACTCTGCAGGCAGATGAGCCGGGGGCGCCGACTCACGCGGAGCGCCCGCGACATTCCCGCAAGATGGTCGAGAACGGTCCCATGCAATACCCCCTGGCGGCCCCGCCTTTGAGGTGCTGAAGCCAGCGCCTCGCTCGAGACATCCTTATACTTTGCTCTGAAGGCAGGTAAGTCGGGGTCGCCGGAACACGCAAACAACATGACACATCCCCACAATCTGTCCGCGGACGGTCCCGTGCAGCACCCTCTAGCGGCCCGCCTTGGCGTGTTGAAGCCATCGACTCGTTCGGGGACATCTTCGCAATCTGCTCTGAAAGCGGCGAAACCGCCTGAGACATACTACAATATGTGCGCGAACGGTCTAGAAAACAAACCCTTGGCTCCTCCTTTTCGGGTGCTGGAACAAGGATGATGAGTGAGTCCGAGTATGAGTGAGTCTGTGAGTCTGAGTGTGAGTGAGTCTGTGTATGAGTGAGTCTGAGTGTTAGTGAGTCTGAGTGTGAGTGGGCCTGTGTGTGAATGAGTCTGAGCGTGACTGAGCCTGAGTGTGAGAAAAGTTTGAGTGTGAGTGCGTCTGAGTACGATAGAGAATCGAAGTGCGATTGAGTCTGAGTGCGTATGAGTCTGAGTGCGAATGAGCATCGGTGTGAATGAGTCTGAGAGTCAATGAGTCTGAGCGTGGTTCAGTGTGAGTCTCATTGTGAGTGAGTGTGAGCGCGTGGAAGGGGCAGGAAAAGAGGAGGAGGAGGAGGAGGGAATTGGAGGCGTCTAAGTGATTAGAGCAGCCCCATCCTAGGATGTACCGAACTGGACACTGCAACACGTGGCACGCCAGGCATCCCCTGGGTGAATCAACAGGGGGCGGCGGATCTGGTAGCCTTCGGTCCATGCCGCCAGCGTGCCGTGGTTGTGGGCCAGAGGCCTCCTGGATGCCGTAGAGGATATCTGGGAAGGTCTCTCGGAAGCCTCATGGAGGGTGGTTCTGGGGTGTCTTTGGGGCTTCTCGGGAGCCTCTTGGCTTCTTGGGGCTTGCTTTTGGCCTCTTGGGGTTCTCCTGGCGCTTCTGGGGGGCTTCTTGGGGACCTGCTGGCGATCTCGGATGTCGTCTTGGAGCGGAGGGCTCGAACAAGTCGGTTCGTGCTCCCCCCCTGGGGCCTCCGTTGGAGCCCTCGTGGGTCGTCTAGGGGGCCCTCTGAGGCCGCATTGGGGCCCCATCGGGCCTCTTGGGGTTCTCTTGAGTCCTCTGGCGTTTTGAGCAGATCGTACCCCGACTCCAGGCTCTCTTGGACCGTGTCGGGGGCCTCTTGGGGCTTCCGTGGCTCGTCGTGGACCCCTCGAGGCCCCGAAAACGCAATGCGAGAACACTCCCTGGGCACGCGGGAAACCTCGCGCGATCCAGTAATTTGGGGTCAAGGCCCCTCGAATAATCTTCGGGACGAAGGATGGGCTGAAGGGTCCTGAGGGCATTCCACTCCAATCGTGCCTCGCGGCATGGTGGCGGATCCTGGCAGGATTTGAAGGACCATATGAAGCAGGCAGGCACCGTGGAGTTCTGCAGCGTGCTCACTGAGGACGGCACCGACTACGGCAGGTCGAAGGGGGCTGGATGCGTGCGATATTCTAACGAGGCAGAGGTCATGCAGGCCATCGCCACTCTCGCCGAGACGGAGCTCAAGGGTCGGAGGATCCTCGTCAATCGGTGGTCTGGCGGCAAGGGCGGCGGCAAGTAGCGGCAGCCCTGGCGCAAAAATACCCCCGGCGGGGCCGCAGCCGTTGTTTGAAGCCGAGCGGGGGGTTGGAAGGCCTACCCGTTGTAAAGATAGATACGACTTCCGCTCGGCATTTCGTGCCGCGCGCGATTTCTCCCGCGCGGTCCATCACGCGAGACGCGCGCGGAGTGATGTCTAGCTCGGGAGCGGCAGGAACACCACCACCACTCCCGGGCATGGCTGACCTGTGCCCACGGGATGATGGCACACAGTCCTCGCCCGGGCAGGACTGTACACTGTGCTGGGTCGGGCCCGGTACGGCCGTGGACAGGGGCGGTGGTGATGCACAGCCGCCCCCTGTGGGTGCAAGGCCCGGCCGGCAGGAGGCCGGGTCAGGCCAGCCCCTAGCTTCCGACGACTCTTCTCGCTCCGCCGTCGCGCGGGACACCGCTCCTGCTATCACGACCGCAATGATTCCGAGGCAGTGCCAGCGATGGCGGAAATGGTGTCCCTTCCTTTTCGGCTGCGGTCACAACGGGCTATCCGGGCGAGCCTTTGGCTTTGGCATCCCTCGGCCATGTGCACGCATGTCATATGTTCCGCTTCCTCGGTCCAATGGTACTACCGATTTGGCGCCTTCCAGGCCCCATGCGCACCTACGCTCCATCTTTCCTAAATGGGTTTGACTGTAGACGCTCCTCCGCATATTCAGAAGCGCTCCCCCCTCCTGATTTCAGGATTCTGTATCTCTCTTTTTCTGATGGGCCTGTCTTCCACCACCACCACCACCATAAGTTGGAGGGGGGAAGGAGGAGGAGGACGAGGAGGAGGAGGACGAGGAGGAGAAGGATAATGAGGAGGTGGAGGATGGAAGAGGAGGAGGAGGAGGAGGAGGAGGAGGAGGAGGAGGAGGAGGAGGACCCCCTCCCCCTCCAACTTATGGTGGTGGCGGTGGAAAAACAGGCCCATAATTTCATCCCTGTCGCCCGTTCTCTCGCTGCCGAGATCGATTACACCTTATGACGACTCGACGAGAAGGTTTGGGGTGCAGCGTTGCGTGCGTGGAGGAAGCTGCGTTGCATCAGGGATGCCCACCCAGAGAGTCAGCGACCATCTGGGCCGACGAAGTTCATGAGGGGGAAAACACACAGACACAACGAATCGTCGATTCCCCAGAAAAGATAGGAAAATAGGGAAAGCTGGGGGGGATGAAAACCACCCAGAAGATGTGGGAAAATCTATGAGACATCCTTCTGTTTGTGTGTATTCGCTTGTGTGTCCCATGGGGCCCTTTTAAGGAGGGGATGCGAGAGGTCCTGCGGCCGTCCTCCCGCGGGGCTGGAAGCACTGCAGTTAAGTCGGGCCTGTCCCTCCACAGGGGGAATCTTCAAAAATAGTCCCCAAAAAATCGGGGAACTATTTTTGAGTATTTTTGGGCATCTTTTGAGCATTTGTTGCGTATGTCTTATTTTTCGTCCAAGGAGGACAGGCCCGACTCAACACCACAGCACAAGCGCCGGCCGCCCGGGCGAGCGGCAGCGCCGACTGGCACGTGGGCCTGCCCAGAGGGCAGCGCGCCCTCTCTCTGGCCCCGTTGGGCGGCGCACGGCCTCGGACGGGGCTGGGGGGAGGAGTCGAGGCCGTGCCGCAAAGCGCTCGGGAGCGCTCGCAGCCAAGCAGTGGCGAAGCGTCCTGGCTCCTCCTCCTCCTCATCCCCCTCCTCCTTCTCCTCCTCCTCCTTTTCCTCCTCCTCCTTTCCCTCCTCCTCCTCCTCCTCCTCCTCCTTCCTCCTCCTCCCCCTCCTCCTCCTCCTCCTCCTCCTCCTCCTCCTCCTCTCCTCCTCCTCCTCCTCCTCCTCCTCCTCCTCCCCCTGCCAGAGCGCTCTGGAACGCTCGCAGTCGAGCTGTGGCGAAGCGTCCTGGCTCGCCTATACAAGGGCGCCCTCGAGGGCGCGAAGTTATTCGCGCTTCGCGGTTCGGCTCCGATTCTTCCTCATCCTCCTCTTCTCCCCCGGGAGGCGGCGCGAGAGCGCGAAGTTATTCGCACTTCGCGCTACACGCAGCGCGAAGCGCGAAGTTGGGAGCCCTGTCCGATAGGCCCACCAAGCAATGTTCTAAGAACCCTTTGTGGTTTGCGCGAAATGTTCTCAGAACATTTCTGGCTGGGACTGCCTTGGTTTAACACATCGGGTGAATGCTCCAAGAGCATTATTTTTGTTCTTAGAACGTTTTGGGGTTCGAAGAACAATTCGTGGTAGGACTATAGGAATGCCGGGACGGTCGGTCCCTGCTCAACGCAGAGCGGTCCGGAACGCTCTGAGAAGGCCGCGGCGCCCGAGACATCTCCCAGAGCCGCCGGATCTCAGAGGTTCGATTTAGCCTCACTCGCATTTATCCTCGTCATGGCTTCGTCTTGCGTCCTGGAATCTGTTCTTCAGAGAACCTCACCCGACCGCCAGTCCAATCTGGCGCCACTCACCCTCTTCTCCGCCCTCGTGGTGGGACGGGTAAAGGGGGGAACGGGTTCCTTGTCGTCGTGTTCCTCCTGCTGCCCCTCTTCGTCGTCCGCTCCCTCCTGTGACCAACTGTGGGGGACAGAAGGCTTCGCGCCACATGCACGTGCCCTCATTCACTCGCAGGGCGAGCACATGGAGGCGAAGAAAGCAGCGATCAGACGAAAGCGCGCCGGCGTTGGTTGCGGCGATGGGCCCCCGATTCCGATCCGATTCGATTCCAGCATCGGTTGGGGCCAGCCGGAGCCTTGCGCGGCGATCCGATCTCGATTCGATCTGGGACGGTTCCCGGGCGATCCGCGATCCGCTTCCGATCCGACCCGGCTTCGCGACCGGCTGGCGCTCCCCGCCTCGGCGGGAAGAACTTCCGCAGTGGCCCCTCCACCGGCAGCAACCAAATTCGGCCAGGAAGAGCTCGGCCAGGCGGTGTGTGTGTGTGGGTGTGAATTCCATCTTTTTCCCGGAAAGGGCTCCGGCCCAGGGTTCTCTTTTAGTAGGTAAACCTAGTCCCCCGGTGCCTGCTTGAAGGAGGCCGGCGAATTTTTTCCCTGATAAATAACGAGGTCGAAGGAGGCCGGCGAATTTTTCCCTGATAAATAACGAGCCCGAGAATTAAAATTTGAGGATGTCTCGAGCGAAACGCTTGTTTTTGAGGCCGGCGAATTAAAATTTGAGGATGTCTCGAGCGAAACGCTTGTTTTTCAGAAAATGGTGAGGATGTCTCGAGCGAAACGCTTGTTTTGTGTTATAGATTGTCCTCTCCTGGGGACCTGAATTCTGAGGACCACCTCCCAGCACGACCACCCCCCCAGCACGACCACCCCCCAGCACGACCACCCCCCAGCACGACCACACCCCAGCACGACCACTCCCCAGCACGACCACACCCCAGCACGACCCCACCCCAGCACGACCCCACCCTAGCACGACCACACCCCAGCACGATCACACCCCAGAACGACCACACCCCAGCACGACCCCACCCCAGCACGACCCCACCCCAGCACGACCACACCCCAGCACGACCACACCCCAGCAGGACCCCACCCCAGCACGACCCCACCCCAGCACGGCCCCACCCCAGCAAGACCACACCCCAGCACGACCACACCCCAGCACGACCTCACCACAGCACGACCACACCCCAGCACGATCACGCCCCAGCACGACCACGCCCCAGCACGACCACTCCCCAGCACGACCACCTCCCAGCACGACCACCCCCCCAGCACGACCACCCCCCAGCACGACCACCCCCCAGCACGACCACACCCCAGCACGACCACACCCCAGCACGACCACACCCCAGCACGACCCCACCCCAGCACGACCCCACCCTAGCACGACCACACCCCAGCACGATCACACCCCAGAACGACCACACCCCAGCACGACCCCACCCAAGCACGACCCCACCCCAGCACGACCACACCCCAGCACGACCACACCCCAGCAGGACCCCACCCCAGCACGACCCCACCCCAGCACGGCCCCACCCCAGCAAGACCACACCCCAGCACGACCACACTCCAGCACGACCTCACCACAGCACGACCACTCCCCAGCACGATCACGCCCCAGCACGACCACGCCCCAGCACGACCACTCCCCAGCACGACCACCTCCCAGCACGACCACCCCCCCAGCACGACCACCCCCCAGCACGACCACCCCCCCAGCACGACCACACCCCAGCACGACCACACCCCAGCACGACCACACCCAGTCGCACCCCCGTGGAATGTTTCGTGGGGTGTCTCGTGGAATGTTTCGTGGGGTGTCTCGTGGAATGTTTCGTGGGGTGTCTCGTGGAATGTTTCGCGGGGTGTCTCGTGGAACGTTTCGCGAGGTGTCTCGTGGAATGTTTCGCGAGGTGTCTCGTGGGATGTTTCGCGGGGTGTCTCGTGGGATGTTTTGTGAGATGTCGCCCAGTTGGGTATCGTGAAAACGTGACCATGCTGCGCATGTCTATATCCCTTTCCGGGTTCGTGGGTCCATCATGTTCCCACTCTTACGTCTCTTTACCCCTATCGGTTCAGGTCCTGGATATCTTAGATCTCTTCCAGAGGTGCAGGACTGTGCAGCGTCGAGGGATAAAGCCCTTCGTCGCTGTCATCCTTCCTCTACCTACGGATCTCCTTCGCACGGACGGTTGGGCTTCTCGGCCCCTTACCTCCGTTCACAGGCAGAACTCGGCCAGAGCTGAAATCGGCCAGGCGGCCCTCCTCCAGGCCGAGTGCGGCCACGCTGCATGCGGCCCGGGCCGAGTTCCGCCTGGCCGAGTTTAGATCCGGCCG